GTGAACCCTCTGATAACTTCTCTACAGTGCCCTCCACACTATAAATACCACACATTGTGGGAAGTCTGGGCCTTTTCAAAGGCTGGGTTTCATTTTAACAAAATTGGAAATCCCTGCATATTTGGAGCGGCCAGATCATCCTGCACTTAAATGACTTCACCTGTCCAGCTGGGTACAGAAACGGGCTTCGGGCATTTCTGTCTCTTCTCCCTTTCTTTCATCTGGCAGTCTCTTCAGGGAAACCTTGACTTTGTTGTCAGGAAAACACTGATTAGCAAGAGATCAGATAGCAGCTGTGAAGAATGAAAGCGACACTAGTGCCTGATGAGGAGAGATGCACCTCCCTGCGTGCTGCCAAGGTTTATGGAGTGGAATTCCCTGACGCCGCTGCCCTCACTGCCTGCACCTGCATCTGCTGTGGGTTCATTTCCTTATTGGACTTGGCTGGGGACCGCCTAAGGGGTGGATGGGTCAGGACTGGGTAATCTGGGGGAGGTGTGCGCGGCATTCCTGTTTGCAGTCTGTGTCCCTGTTGGAAGAGATGCTTTTAGCGCATCCGTTAATCCAGACGTGATTAGCAAGCAGTGTCTCCCAGGTGAGAGTTGGTGCATCTCTGCTGAGCCACTTCTGACTTCATCCTTTGTCAAGTCTGTTACAAAGAGAACTTTGGTTTCTCAAGGTTTAAGAATTAATGTCAAAGAGCAATTTAGTGTTCTTTTTGAGTCGCCAGCCTTGCTGTGGATGATTCGTGAGTCCTTGGTGGTCAGGGCCACAGCACAATCGGTGGGCCGTCTGTTCCCCACCCTGGTGGAGACTTTCTCACCCAAAGAAATGTATTCTGTTAACGTGTCTCAATTAGGATATTTTAGTCGGAGACAGAGTTATGGCTCTTGTTTGTAATAGATGATTACTGTAGCAGGGTCAAGGTTGAGACTTGCAGTGTGGCTCATGGAACACGTTGATTAGAAACACCCAAAATATATCACCAGCTTTGTTGCTGCAGTTCCAAGGGACTAGGAATGCATATGTTGTTTTTTTTTCTTTTGTTATTATTTATTATTTTTATTTTTGAGACAGAGTCTTGCTTTGTCACCCAGGCTGGATTACAGTGGCATGATCTCAGCTCACTGCAACCTCTGCTTCCAGGGTTCAAGAGAATCTTGTGTCTCAGCCTCCTGAGTAGCTGGGATTACAGGTGCCTGCCACCATGTCCAGCTAATTTTTGTATTTTTAGTAGAGACAGGGGTCTCACTGTGTTGGCCAGGCTGGTCTTGAACTCCTGACTTCAAGTGATCTGCCCACCTTGGCCTCCCAAAGTGCTGGCATTACAGGCATGAGCCACTGTGCCTGGCCACCATGACCGTTTTAAATGTGGCACTGAATATCTGCCTTTTTTTTTAAAAAGAAGTGCAGACGTCACCCCTCACACCTCTGTTCTGGGGCTGGCCTGGGCTGGCCAGCAGGGCTCCCAGGCTCGAGGCCGTGTCTGAAGTGTTGTTGGACAATGTGGAGCTGTGACCCCTTGGTCTTTGGGGATGTGGGGCACCCCGAGACACCCACAGTCTTGCGAGGGTTTACGGCTCTGTGTGTGGCTGCTGTGAGGCAGCTTTCGGTGGGGAGGAAGGAGAGCAGAGCCCATCTGTCCTGGTGCGGAAAATGCCCAAGAAAGTAAAGAAATGGTCCAAAAAAATCATCATCTGCCCTGGTGCCATTTCTGTTAAAAAAAAAAAAAATTCACTCTGAGTGTGGTTCTGTGCTTGAGGAGGATAGAAAATACCTGGAAATACGCACAAAGTGTTCTTATGGGGTCAGCGCCGGGAAGTGGGATGGGAGGCTTGGGAGTGTGTGGAAAGGAGGACGTGGCGTATTTTATTCTAGTTTATTTGGTAGAGCGAGTGATGAGAGTGAAGCTTGAGTGATTGGAGCAGCTCAGCCTGGCCATGGGTAGATCCCAGCGTGTCCCGCCTCCCGCCTCCAGCTGCAGCTCTGTTTCTCGGTCACAGATGAGACAGGTGGCCTGAGGCTGTGGGCGGAGGAGGGGCAGCTTGGTGTCCCCAGCACCTGACTGTCCAGGCTGCTCTTGGGCCAGCCTGAGGGAAGGGGCAGAGGAGAGCTGGGAGGGTGCACAGTGCATCCTCCTCCCCCGCCCTGGGACTGAGGTAAGCCCAGGCTGCTGTCAGGATGGAGGAAGATGCCCTCAGGACGGAGGAAGAGGCTGATGGAGTTTGGTCAGCAGCCAGTGTGGTCTTTCTCCCAGGAGATACGCAGTGCGCCAACTAGCAGGAAAAAACTCTGCTTTAGTTTTTGAATTTTGCTCATTCTGTTTATCATGCTGGTCATGCTAAGATTTGGAAATTGTTGGTAGGAATCAGTGTCAGTTGCATACAGTTGACTCTTGTACAACACAAGCTTGAGCTTTGCGGGTCAACTTATATGTAGATTTTTTCAACCAAACTCAGGGAGAAAATGCAGTGTTCCTGCCACGTGAAACGCATGTCGGAGGGCCGACTCTTTGTACACACAGAAAATACAGTGTTCCTGCCATGTGAAACGCGTATCGGAGGGCCGACTCTTTGTACACGCAGAAAATACAGTGTCCTGCCATGTGAAA